CTGAGTACTACTTTACCGAATTTATGGTTCCTTGGAAATCTCCTGCATTCTACGAAATTTCCAATCTCAGGGCATTAGCAAGTGTCTTTCAGTTCATTGTTCCTGAGAGCTCCATAATTCAGGAATGTGAGCTGTAAAAAATTCGATCAGTTTTCATTTGTTCTTTTTCAGGTCTTAAAGATCCTGAGTATGTACTGGAATTTCGTCCCACGCGACTTTGTCAAACAGTATATGACTATGGTATGTCAATTTTTTTCCGTGGACTTTTGGTATTTCTTGTTCGAGTGGTGTAGCACTGATAGCCAATGTTTCTTTATAAAAAAAGTTGGGTTGTGCGCAAAAGAATTAACTACTGCCTGGACTCGTACCAGCATCTCAAGGTTGCCGGCATCTCAAGATTATAGTGCGCTGACCAGTACACCACTACCCGTTTTCTCCTCGCCATCAGCTCTGCGGCTTATATTGCAATGCCCTGTGCCAGAAGTTCTTTTTCTTAGCCATCGATCTGGCTTTCGCATAGCCTAGCAAGCCTAGACGAAATTCGTGTGGATAGGGGGTTCAGAAGAAAGCACAGAAGGAGGCATTATTTTGTTGCGAACTATTTACTGATGGGTTCTGGCAGCCTAAACACTGCCCGTGATAAGCCCCTGATAGTTTAGCCACCTCAGAGCTGAGAATGGAGAGCAGGAAGGCTCTCAAGATTTTATTTGTTGACCACTAACCGATCGATCCCCTTGGATCACACGTATCCGGAAGGTCATTATCTTTCGTGTAGGTTAAGCTTCTGGTATCCACTCCGTGTTTTCCAATAGGATAGGCATTCCTGTTTTGTTTTCGCCCCTACTGTTTTCCCCCTTCCTCTCTGAGATCGTTTGCGTTTTAAACCAAGCTAAGCGATCATCTTGGTGCAAACTCAGCGGTTGATTTCCTCGTGGCCATACCAATACAAATTACCAGGATTAGTTGAGAGCCGATCATTGAACATTTGATGCTTTCATTTTCTGTAGTAGTACCACCTTGTGTTCAGATCGTGGATACGTTGTCGCGTGATTCTGTTGTGGGTGTAAGACTGGCTGTGTATGAGGTTTGTAACCATTCGTATTACATTTGTGAAGGTTCTCTTTTCTAGCATTTGAGAGCTTATAGGAATCGGCGTCATTGAATTTCAGCTCTGGACTCAGTTCTATTATGTTCCCGATTTTAGGGAATGCGATATCTCATAGGTGTACCGGCGTGCCTGAATGCGGCTGAACATGCACTGAAATGTATAACGCTGAATGGCATCAATGATAAAAATGAGCGAGTGAGAGCGGCAGCTTTCGAAATGCTGAAAATGCTCAAAGGACATCGGTATATCAGGGTATGTCTTGTTCTTCACTTTCAATGCAGCGGCGTTACAGCGTAAACAATTGATCTATAGACAGACGAAAAAATTGAATCTCCTCTACGATGGGTAGAAAGACCGAAATCTATGGCTGAGTTTGTGCTGCCGCGAATAAATTGACCAAATAATCTTCTGCGTTTTACAGGCTTCTTGCATTTTCAGTTCTTCGACGTCGTTCCAATGGAAGAAGTTTTAGCACGGCTGCAAGTTGAAACTTCGGAAAGCGTGCGTCGCGAGATTGTTCCTCTGATCTTCAAGGTATTTGAAATGAGCTGGCAATTAGACTTCATTGTAACATTCAGTCCACGTTTTCAGTCATTTTTCCCCGACAAAGATCGAGCTGATCAGAGTGAAAAGATGCGTCGTATAGCTTTCCTAATCAAGCACGGCCGAATCTGTGCACTTACCTTTCACCGTCTGCTGTTTCCACTGGGGCTTGTGACGGTTAAGGAAGCCGGTGAGAGCGTTGGACTTCTTGCTATTTTTCAGTAGTTTAGCTTTCCAGGATTGTGAAGCAGTCCTGTTCCCATTGTTTGATTTCAGTGGAGCACATCCTATTCATGACCATTGTGGTGTATCGCAGCTTCTCAAAAGGCATGTCAGCTGACGCTACGATAGATGGTTCAATGCGATTAGATGATACCATTGCCACCCTCAGCGGACCTAGTCAGGACATTCCTATGCCAGGTATGCTTTGTGTAGATCTTACAAGGTGGTCCTCCAAGCCATGGAACGACTTTCAAA